CCATTATTTTATTTATTTAACTCTTGGAACATCAAAAATCAAATTTTACATAGCGAGCTAATTTTTTTAACTTTTTAAATTTTTTTATGTAAACTTACAAATCATAATAGTAATTTATAACTCTACGTCTCTAATTAATAATTATCTTTTGTAGTCTTTTACCATTAATATTCTATTTATTCCTCTCTAAACAATTTTTATGATACATTAAATGCATTATATTGTTTTATTAATCAGACATTTAGATATTAAAAATAATTATTATTTATAGTTGATCTGAAAATGAATAATTTAAGTGATTTGGACTTTGATAAAGTTAGTAAATCAGCAGGACAATCAAAACAATTTCAATGATGTAGATTCCTTATTACATGATCCTAATTCATTATCATTTTAAACATACTATAAAAAAATAATATATTTTTTTTGATTTGAACTTTAAGTTACTAATCTTATATGAGTTAAACCTATATTATATATATTATATTATTTATAATATATATTATATTATATTATATTACATTATTTAAATATATCATTTTAAATCATAAAATTTACTATAATTCTTTAAAAAACACTCACATTTACCATATAATTATTTTGTATGGTCAGGGGCGGTTTTAGAGGGTGGTATGGGAAAGGGGTGCTACACCCCCCCCAACGTCGACTGAACTAAATAAGTAGTCAGCAAATTAAAATCAACGACACGAGTCGGCAATTTCAACATAATTTGATTTGTAATAAAATATTTAACATTTTTTATAATATATTAATATAAAAATAATATAAATCATTATGGTTATTTATATGCACATTAGTAGGTACTCTTATTTATACATAAAATGTATTGGATGCCCTCGCCTAAACTTGTATTATTAGACTATTTCTGGACGTTTGGTTTATGATTGTAACAGAAATAGGAAAAATAATTAACATTTATTAAATTGTTTTGTGTCTATTATTCCCCACTTTGAATAGTTCCTCAGCATGACCGAAGTACCTAACGGCGAACACCCATAGATATTATAAGATAAGACCACATAGTCGTAAATATGTACGTTAATTATATTGGGAAATATTATGATAATGAATAAAAATAGATTCTAACAAATGCTAAAATTCATAATGCATTGGTATTTGGTTCATTCCACAAAACGGTCTTATCTAATATCTACTAACCAGTAACCGTCTCAGAATAATATGTTTATAATTGTTTAATAATATTAAGAATAATAATGCCTATTATATTGAAGTTATTTCAATTTTTAATAATATTATGTTTAAATTTGTTTAAATTGTTGTTTTGGTGCCGTTGGTGAATTTAAATTATTAAACTGTGATTTTAAATTGTGAAAAAGACTTGACTGACAAAATTGACATAGATTTTGATCTTAAAAAATGGTAAACAAATGGTATCTTCTGCTAAACAAAGAAGAATTGAAATTTGAAAATAAATAAACAATAAAAAAAAGATTTTATATTTTTATGTTTGTATTGTTTATAATAATAAATAATAATGATATTACTCATATTATGCTTTATATTAAAATTAATGTATTAATTAATATGTTTAATTGTAACTCAAATCGATTTGCATACATCTAATGTTTGTAAATTAATCACTCCCCCCTCTACTCTCATACGGTTATACAGCAATTTTTTTGATGCACCCCCTAAGTATTTATCTTAAAACCGCCCCTGTGTATAGTTCATATTTCATAAAGTGAATTTTTTCAAATTTGACTGTATATTATTTTGAGTTTGATGCTATATTTGATTGAATATTCATTAGTCGAGATTTGGCTAAAAATGACAAATCAATTTAAAATGCTTGTAAAATGTAAGTGTCTTTATTGAGTTTAAACTTTAATTTTAATTTTTGATATTTGTCTGGAATAATGTATTAACAGATAACAAATTAATAATAATAAAAAATGTTACTGAGATAATATGTACAGTTTAACATTTTTTTAAATTATTATGTGTCAGAAAATAATATTCATGTTTTATTGTACACTTGATATTAACAGATATATTTTAAGGTCCCCCTAATGTAATTCAATTTCAATTTGGCTTTTTCATTCTATAAATAAGACTAATTTAAATATTTTCACTTATAATACATATCTGCCAGTCTTGATTATTCACTTAAATTGCATATAATAGTAATGAACAGTGACGCAAATAGGTGGAGGGCTTGGGGAGTTAGCCCTCCCTCAAAATATAATAGTATTGAAAAAGAAAACTTATTATTGTATGTATTGTATATTAGATACAATGATAAATATTTTAAAAACAAGATTTTCTGAAGAAAGCCTTCAAGTAGCTTTATAAGTACCTATATAATTTGTTAAAATTGAATTTCAAGATTTTTCATTTTTAATTGATCATAACAAGGTACTTGTAAAACACATTATTAATTTTTAAGCACTTAATTAATGTTTAATATTTGTTAAGGATTTATTTTGAATTTTTGACCAATCATTGATGTCTGAAATATCTGTTTTAAAAAACATTTTTGGTGAAAACTCTAGTTCAAATAAAATAAAATAGAATTTGACATTATATGATGTTAAAGTATTTCCAAATTTCTGTAAGATGTTTCAAGTAGCTGTTACTTTTCCCATAAGTAGAGCGACCTATGAGAAATCATTTTCTACCATGCAACGCTCTAAAATATGGTTGCGTACTTGTATGATTCAAGATAGGTTCAGCTATTTAAGTATTTTGAATATAGAAAGGGGCATTCCTATTTATAATAAAGTCATTAAATATTTTTGAAAAAACCAAGATACATATACAATTACATTAAATATATCTATTTAAATAAATGGTTATTGTTGAAGTATGTACAATATTAATTATTTTATATACAGTGTGTTCATAATATGAGGTACCACTTAATATTTCCTTTGGATGACCTTGGATTGAAATGGGATTTTTGGGAGGTAATAGGGCGTACCTAAATACACATTGTCAGGCAAAATTCAAATTTGTAACTCTCTCAGTACACGCATGCGCAATCAGTCCTGTAAAGTATTTGAGTAAAAGTATTGAATAACTTTTTAAATACTTTCAGCATGAAGTATTTTGAATGGTATTTTAAATACTTTTTTAAGTATTTTTGTATTAAGTACTTATTTGTATTGAATACTTTGGTTTTTTATTTCGAACATTTTAATTTTTCATTAAATTCAATACTCCGCTGTCAAGCAGTGCTTCAGTGGAGTGGGTATTTAGTGTGGGTGGAGCAGCCATGACCAAAAAGAGAAGCAATATGACTGATGAACATTTTGAAAACATAATGTTCTTAAAATGTAACAAACATTTATTCAATAAATAATAAATAAAATAAAAATTATTATAAACTTACTATGTGTCTATATTACGATAAATCATTAGAAACCTTTTTTAAAAACCAAAAGTATTTGAAAAGTATTCCAAAAACTTTTTTAAAGTTTTTGAGTAATATCTTAAATACTTTTTAAAAGTATTCTTTACAGGACTGTGTGCCATACAACTTGCTTTTTTTTAATGGCAACACCAATTTTTTTATACGGATTCAGGTAGAGTATTTTTTTTCAAACAATTTTTGTACAAAGTTTTTTTCTAATAATAAAATTGGCAAAGTTACAGTATGGTCAAATTTAATATTTATGTAGGTATTATAATCTGCTTTTAATGACATTTTAATAATATCCATTTTATAATATTGTGCTACCTATTTTTTATATTTTTAATTTGCTACTTACATACAAAGAATACTAAAAGTTGAAGGTAAAGAAATTTAAAAAAATTAATACTACAAATTCATTCAAATAAATTTTATTGAATTAACAAATCTAACAATTTTAGAACTTATTACTATTGACTTATTGATACGTTTTATCTAATAAATTGTTCAAAGTCTCCACCTTGATTTTCCAAACGTCTCAACAATTCTCGTGATATTGCTGCTTTTATTTGATCTTCGGTCAAATTATTACATGCCACTTGTATTTAGTTTACTTGATTATACCTACATAAATATTAAATTTGACCATACTGTAACTTTGCCAATTTTATAATTAGAAAAAAACTTTTTGTACAAAAATTGTTTGGAAAAAAATACTCCACCTGAATCCGTATAAAAAAAATTGGTGTTGCCATTAAAAAAAAAATTTTAGTTGTAATGCACATGAGCGTACCGAAATTTACAAATTTGAATTTTGCCTGACAATGTGTATTTAGGTACTCCCTATTACCTCCCGAAAATCCCATTTCAATCCAAGGTCATCCAGAAGAAATATTAAATGGTACCTCATAACGTGAACACACTGTATATTACTAAGTTAGAATTAAAGAAATACAGATGTAAGATACTATCCTTAAATGTACGTACCTACTTAGCAATTGATTTATAGCATTTCTGAAAAATCTAATACTAAATCAGGCTTAAAAAATAGCTCTCTTAATTTATAACTTACTACAAGTACTACAAAAGATATTCTTAATCTCTCATGAAGGACTGGTTGCTAAAATAAGGATGCCAACTCCACTGCTTCACATTGTACTTCCAATTCATGGGATTTTATAAATTTTATATGTTATATATATTTTTTAAATAATTTTTGCTTTTAGTCATCTGGTTAACGATTGGAGTAGTATATCGAAAGAATATGATAATGATTAGTAATTGTATTAAACATTTAAAATGTATTTACTTTCTAACAAAAATTATGATCATTCATAAATAGGATGAAAACTAAAATCTGATAAGGATTTTAAACTAAAAAACGATTTTAATATTGTTGTTGTTTTCAGAAATGTCTTAAAAATTTTAACTTATTGGTATTCAAAATACAAATTGGCTGTGAGAACAATTAATGAGGAGCCTTGTATTTTATTTTACATCATTTACATCATTAATACTATTAMAATATATACATAATTGTTTGATCTCACGGTTGTCAAAATGTTAAGCTCCGTTAAGCACATTTTACGTACACCTACCACTCTATCTATTTTAGCCCTTGTATTTAGTCGTCATCACTGTTATGAACATTGCTTTTCCTCATTAAGTTTATTATTTCCGTCATTTTTTCAATTGTTGATTGTTTTATTTCCACAATTTTCTCTTTTTCAGATATTTGTTCACTGTTGACACAAAAGTTAAGTTAATTTATTAATAATAATAAGTATAAGTATTAACAACCTTTGAATGCAATCGAAATATATGAATAATTATTTAATTAAATGTAAAATCTTATGCATAAATGTAGATATAGCCATATAGATAGGTTCACTCCAAATTGAAACGAAAAAACAAAATTACAATAATAATATTATACTGCCTATAGCCTTACCATTTTTCGATAATTGTTTTGTTATATTTGTCTGTCAGTTGTAAATTTTTAACATTTAAACGTTGATTTTCGATTTTGAGATTCTCTATTTCTGATTCAAATTGTTCTCGAACATACGTATTAATCCAACAACCAGCTCTAGTTTCCCACTGTTTTATTTCATTTCTCAATTCAACAATATCGTCGTTTAAACGGTCGATGGTGATCTTATAGTCCTGGTTTTCAAGTGTCTACAAGTCAACAAATGTTATTTAGGTATAGGCATAAATATTGTTTAAAATTTGGGGAGGCTGATAACTTATTTAGTACGAATTCTTATCACACATTTCCCACCAATTTACCCGTTGTTAACATGATCACTTGGTTCTGGGGGGGCTATAATTGCGTTTATGGGTATAGGTAAATTATATTATAGTTGTACACAGATTAACTTAATGAAAAATGTATTTAAATTAACAAAGATATCGAATAATTTTAATGCAAATTTACGATAAATATTGTTTACTCATACCAAACGTTTGACCATCAATTCGAATTCCAAAGTCATATCTTCCCTAAAATTAACAAATACATATTTAACACACTATAATATACCGTCAAAATAATTAATCTCACATGAGTTTAATTTGTTTTTGTTGTTTAATATTTAAGTCAGATTGTTCACTTAACCGCATAGAACGTTGCACAAACTCGGTTCTCTTTTTTCCAACCTCGGATCTCAATTCATTCAATTTTTGATTAGTTTCTGTATATCTAATACAATTTTATATAAATTAATAAAATATAGTATTATAGTTTTATCAATATTTTACTTATTTTTAAGTACAATCATTTCCTCTTGAAACATATCCCTCTCTCTAGAAACCTCAATAAAATCATTTTTATACTTGTTTCTCTCCTTGAACAAATTTTCAATCCTTGTGGTTTTTTCAGAGTCTGTTTTTTTAAAACTATCTACTGTATTACTTAAATTCTCTATTTTGGAGTTTAATTCCGAGGCTTGTGTAACCATAGTTAATAGTTCTTCATTTTTTACTCCTAAATCATATTTTTTATTTTTTATATACTATTATTTTTAATTATCTAGTTTTAATGACGAACCAAGTTCCAAATTCAACAATCTTTTTTCATTGGTCATATTTTTCAAATTAACATCTTGTTGTTCTAATTTATTTTCTTTTTGTTTTAAATCTATTTTTAAGTGTTCTAAATCATTTTCTAATTGATCCATACTAATTCCACACGTCTGAATTTCTTTATCGTGTCTAATTTTATTCAACTGCTCTTGAAGAAATTCTACCGTGTTTTTACTCTTTTCCAATTCATTTTTTACATCCTTGTGTTGCTCCTGAAGTTCTTTAAATAATGTTTGGTAGCTTTTTTTCGTCTTCAAAATTAAAATAAAAACTTCAACATGTAAACGTATACACAATTATAGGTGTACCTACGTAGGTACCTACGTGTATTAATACATGCGTTTCTTAAAGTCATTAGTCATATCATTATAAACTAACATTTTTATTTACGCTTCATCAATTAACAATACAGGTACTCATTAGTTAAGTACCTACCTATAGTATATAACCAGGTATATTTACCAAATTGTCAGACCTGTCAATTAAACGTTTCTTAAATTCACTTTGAGATGACCTTGGATTTGATGACATCGGCAGATGATTTGATCCTGGACTCTTATAATATTTATGACTTCCTAACGAATTTTGAGACATAGTACAAAAATAACTTTTTTCMTCGGTATACGTATTTTTTTTCTTAGTGAATATTTTAATTGTGGGTCTGATTGGTGCAGATTCCTGTTCTAAAATTACAGTTTAATTAAAATATAATTTTATATAATTAATTTTTATTTCAGATGATTACTCACTTTTAACTGATGAAAGGGGCCTTTTAGATTTATTTTTAATAACGAGATCGGGCATCGTGAAATAGTTGAATTTTTTTCCTGAAAATCTTAACAAATAAAATTTAATGAAATTTAAATAAAATTATGCATTCCTCAACACATGTAGCACGAATATTTATTATGTGCTAAATATTTAGCATTTTTAAATTGTTATAATAATTTACCATAGTAACGTAATAATCAATATAGTTATGTCACTATACTTAAGTACCTAACTAATAAAAATATTTTTGTATACCCAAAGTTTTTAGTCACCATATATTTTTTTTTTTGTCAAAATGATAATTTGGTTATTAATAATTGATATAGCTGGAATATTATACCAACTACACATAGACGCAGGGAGACGTGCTCGATAAATTGTCGTATGTAAACCGTGGTTCGGATGACCGGCCGACACTGTATAATATTAACATCTCATTAACGACATGTAATAATATAAAAGTKTAAAGTACATCGGCCAAACATATTTTTAACTAAATTATGCAACAATAAATTATATAACGCTGTTCGGTGAACAACACGCCCGGCCACGGCCATCTCTTGATCATTACTTTTTCTTCGCTTCAACGGGTAACATCATGGCAGAGTAGCGAAGAATAAAATCGCCGAGGGCGTCTTCGGGACGACGCTCAACGGTCCARCAGCAAAGAAGATGGTAATATGATTTTGTTAACGTTGTACATACAACACACACACACCCACACCTTGGCCGGTGAATTAATATTATTAATTGTTAAAATAGGTTTTGACACTTTTGGTGTTCTTTAATATTATAAAATATGATCGTTCGTATATATATACTATATTCATATATCATCATTATTTATTTATTCATACACTGGTAACCAATATTCGGAGCMGTGTTTGGAATTGGCATATCGTCCAATTCCATATTATTATATTCTATTTTATATTTATCCGTTATGTTTGTTTGTTCGGTGGCCTTCAGTTGCGGCCAAGTTTTTATGCCGTATGGCTTTTCTTAGCCATAAATTAAAATTTTATTTTCCGGTATACATTAAAAAACCAATCACCATAGCTATGTTTTAATTTTTTCCCTTTTTCCGATTTAGTTATTTATTTATATAAAGAAAATCCCGCATGCTCCGATTTTCGAATCTCGGCTGTGGGTTGGCGACCTATACCAGCCTCGTCAATGTACACTCCACGCCGAATCAGGGTATGGCCTCGTGCGAGTTGTTACAACTATCTTAACAAAAACATTCCACAATATACCTAGATTAAAATAAATTTATATTTAATAAATTAGATTTCCATAAATATTTATTATAACCAGAAAATAAAAAAATTGTTTTAAGTATAGAAAATTCAAATAAGTTTGTATAAACAGAAAAATATTGATATTGAAAAAGTGCCTAAACCTAATGTACCTAATTAATAACAATAATTTATTTATTTTTATACACCTACACATATTTGATAAAGACTGAATAAAATAACATATTATGATAAAAATATTAGAAGTTAGGTACTTAATTAGTTCTTTATTGCGAAAGAATTCTATAGTATTTTATTTATTTTCTTAAATCTTAATGTCATCTAATAAATGTGCAAAATTAAATATAATATATATACGTATAGGTAATGATTTACTTATTATATGAATTATGAATATCATATTATCATAATTCATAGTTATAATTACAGTAGGTAGGTACATTACAATAAAAATTAAATTATTTCTAATATTATTTTTAAAAATATTTAATTTTTTTCCATGATTTTGAAAAAAATGTCCTCTTTTATTGTCAACCATAAAGGGACTGGGGCTAATATATATTGCTCGCATACGGCGTTTTTAGTGGGGACCATAAGTGTGTAAAGGAATATGCAGCTGCATACCATGATGAAGGTCCCTGAAGCTCTTCTACGGGAGAAAACAGACCATGGAAAAACAACTGTTTTGTGCAAGAAAGATAATTAGTTCGTATATTAAAATATTTATAGTTATAACCTTATAACAAATGATTAAAAACTGGGGAAAGATATCAGACTAACGGCAGTGATAATGTTTGATTCACGTTTAAAATGATAATAAGGTGTTAGGTGATTGCTATGCTAACCACGAATTTTTAGCGGTTTCACGGCCTTATAATATACTAATTACTAGCTGAATTACCCGTCGCATGCCAGGCGATGGAAATTGTTTATTTCGTTCCGTGTCACATTTAATATTCGGCACGCAAGAAGAACATCGAAATATTCGATTAAGAGTGGTTAACTTGGTGGTAAATAATTGGGATGTGTACAAAGATTTTGTCATTGGGAGCTTTCTTATAGACTACCTAGTACCTATTTGGCTATTTATAATTCTAATGATTACGAACATTTTATGAGCCTAGATGGCGAGTATGCTTGTCACGTCGAACTTGAATGCATTAGTCGTCTTTAAAAAAAAAATAAAATGTATTATTTTTTTTTTACCGTAACCCGGCAGCGACGGGTAATTCAGCTAGAAATAAACAATTTCCATCGCCTGGTATTGGAATTAATTGATATTCCATTTTTCGACGACGATTCAGACGACGACACTACAACGATAACTGTTCAACAACAGTAACAATTATATTATACAATTATTCAACTATTTGTTTTTTTTTTACCGTGACCCGGCAGCGACGGGTAATTCAGCTAGGTAGTATAATCATAAGCGTGCGCACGGGGGAGGCAGGGGAGGCGGCTGCCTCCCCAGCGAGATTTTCCTCTACACCAAAATATAATATTATACCTACCAATTGGGGAAAATCGGGTGGGGGGATTGGAGTCTGGACCTCCTTAGCTAAGGTATTGCCTCCCCTGCCAAGAATACCTACGCACGCTTATGAGTATAATATAATAAAGTTGTAAAAAGATGTGTGAGTGCACACGGCAAGCAACGCGCGTCGCTATATGTAACAATAGCGCAAACTTCCAATAACTTCCAATAACTATTTGAATAATTATTTTTTTGGACTTTTCTCTTTTGATGGCTCATTTACACACCGAGTACTTTCGTTTAAAAAAAAAAAATCGTGAATATCGGCCCGGTAGAACTTCACAAGAAATCGCCTCACGTTGTAATAATATAATAAAGATGAATATCTATAGCCGTGGCGGCTTTCATCATACCGCATTATTGCACTAGACTAAGATTTAGTCCGTGGATGTCACTGATACATTTTACTGATAATCGTCCTATGCAGTAGTGCGGGCAGGTGTAAATCATAGAGTATTACTCTATGGTGTAAATAGTGTAGATGAAACATAGTCTACCCTAATCAGTAATCACTGTTATATAAAGATAATACAATATTTATAATACGAATGATTTTCATTATAAGTTATAATACTTTATTTTATTATAATTAGATTTAATGTTTTTATATACTGCAAATTAAAATTAAAACAGTTAAATAAATTTAATAATACACAATTCTTTGCGAATACTTCTAGCGACAATATAATGCAAATGGTTTAATTAGGCTATATTTTGTATTTTTGTTATAAATTCGAAATCATTTTGTCCACTATTAAACTATTTAAAATACAAAACTGGATTATAATTACATTTTACTAACTATTTGACCCATAATTGAACACTAATAGTTTAAGCGTTTCAATGTTGTTCCTTCAACAGAATCTTGAACATCATTTAATACCCTTTAAACAGGAATCAGTATAGATGGTACTATAGCAGAGGTTCCCAAACTTTTCCCACTCATGGCGCCCTTTTAGAACTGATTGTTTTCTCATGGCGCCCTTAATAAAATGTACGACCTTTTTTTCATCGTAAAATATCGCTATTTATTTTTAGACCAGATAACATAGTCGGCAGCGAGGCACAGCCGTGGCTCCCCTGACAACACACCGCGGCGCACAGTTTGGGAACTTCTGTACTATAGTATTATATAAAATAAAATAATAAAGCTATACTTGCCAATTTTGATCGATCAAAACATTGCAATAAAATTATTGAATTATTTACAAACGAATCAAAACCTATGCAAACTGAAGATATGAATACAATAAACATAAAAAATAAAATTGAAAAACAATCACGTTTCTTCACTAAACATAATACAAACAATTCAAACATCAACATGTTTTAAATAATGTTCATTCATATTATGACGATCATTCTTATGGCGTTAAAAGAAAATTAATTTCTTAATTGTTGAATTGTACCTTTTAAATGACGACCGTAAGTGAATTTTTTCGAATTGTATATTATTAAATTTATTTAACTATTTTAATTTTAATTTAGCGATAAATAAAACCATTATGATACTTATCGTGAGAATGATAAGGCGCACGTGCTCCTGGAGCTCGTGCGATTATCAATGCACTGAGCAGTGAGTGCAAAAAACTGGCGTAGTGCATTGAGGTGAAACATGAAAAAAGTCCACTCAGTGAACATTAATCTTGCCGATCGAACATAGAAATATGCACTGATGCAGTCAGTCTGGCCGTTCAGGTAACGCACCTTAATTATTAATCATCAAGTATTTACGAAACAAAATACACACATTCGTATTTTGCTATGGTATTAATTACAATATTTTTTCGATTGAAAAGTTGGATATTTCAATATTTTGTGTGTTGTGTATAAATATTATCATAATTTTACATTTCAGGGCGCAACAGTGACAGCCTTCTGCATACCCTGAAAAAAGGGCCTATGGTGGGGACCAATAATAATTGTCCTTCATCCCCGATCGAACACCACCACACGTGTATATTTCATGCGGATCAGAGATAGCGCTCAGCGGCCGACTTAACTATACTACACGAGCCAACAGGCGACGGACCCAAGATCAACAGTTGGATCTCGCCGGCTGAACCTGATAGTGTGAACCTCCTAGCACTTTTCTCTGAAAAACTCCGAACACACCAACACGGCCTTTTCCCGTTGTCTGCTGTCGACGTAATTGTGATGTGAGTATATTATTATTATTATCATTATCGTATTGGTAATTATTAATGTTGTGAACCATTTATTAAGAGGACGCAACA